GGCATATAAGCTATTTATTCGGTTAAAACAACTTTTCAGTTTCGTAATTTTTTCTCAATGTGTGTTAAAAAGTACTATAATTTTGAAAACCAGAGATTCCAGTAAACCATTACCATTTGACTGGAAAAACTACCAAAGGAATGATTTAAATACCGTTATTTTGTTTTTATTATCAAAATTAGGTTAATTTATTTTTTTTATTCAAAAATATCATTACGATACAGTACCGTAATTTTATCAGAACTTTTTTCTCCCGTGTACAGACATAGTTAGTGTTGAAAAAAAGTACTGTACTAAAAAGAAGTTAGTACTAGAATGAATGACATGTAAAAACTATATTGAAACTGCGCGGATGTAACTCTTTATAAATAATGTTTTTATCTTCTTTCAAAAAATGTCCCTTTTTTATTTTTAAAAATTTCAGTTTCAAAGCCCTCTGCCCCGTAAATTCGTCATTCCCTTTGTTTTTGTTATTTACTATTACATAGTCAGTCAGAAATAATTAGCCCCAGGCCCTAAATCTCCAGCTAAAAGGAAATACAGTCGTTTAACAGAATTATATTATTTTTTTATTATATAGATTATACAGTCTTTTATTATTATTATTTCACAGAATTATGTTATTTTATGGGTTATGTCCTTAAAAACAAAAACACAAGCGTATATAAAGCAAATCTGAGTTTCTAATTAAATTTAAGTATTGTCTGGGTAAGGTATTCGTGTATTTTTTGTGACGTGAGAATAATAAAATATTTTATTTTCCAGTTTGAAAACCGTAACACTAATGTTATAATCTATAAATTTGTAATAAATTTATAAATCGTAATACTGTTTGCTTTTAAGCAACATAGGAAATATTTAATAAAATTTATTATGTAGTCTTATAAATTTTATGATATATAAAGAAATAGATTCATGCGCTATTCTACGCAACGTTTGGCGATCAGATAGGTTACATTCTCGCCATTTCCCTGCATGCTTTGCCATTTCGGTAATGTGCTATTTCAATAACTAATAATATTAAAAAAAATAATAACATAGAAATTATAACATAGAGGTAAGTTTTGCCTTTTCAATTTAATATGTTATTTAACTATTTTTCATTGCCTTTTCAATTAAATATGTTATTTAAATGTTTTTCATTGCCGGCATTACATAGAATTGCATCAGTCATGGAATGTTTTTTTAGCGCCGTTCTATTGAATCCGTCACTCGTTCATAAAAATTTACTCATGTTGTAGATGAGGTAAAAAAAGAATAATAACCATGACTATATTGAACTAAGGCAAACGCAGCCGCGATGGTTCAGAGAAAGAGTGCTGGCATCTCAAAAAGGTGACCTAGGTTCGAATTCCAGCGATGGGTGGTCGATACGAATTCTGTTCCCTGTTCGCGGTTCTTTGATGGCTGACGGATCATGAATTGGAATCTCTTGGACTTCCGACTAACCATGAGATGTTTTCGCGGTTTTACACTCCATTTAACGCAAATGGTGGTTTCGTTCAAAAGTTCTTAATGAAGTCTAATTTTTCTGTTTGCTTGATCCAGGAGTTCCTTTGTCTCCTGGTTTGGGTTCAAAATTATAAGACTACAGAATTGAATATATATAGTCTTTAATCTAAAAATGGGTCGTTTGCTCAACACCGGTTATAAAATAAAGTAAAAACCATGGCATCCAGCACGGGCTTATATAAATCTGCTAATGTTATAGATGAGGAGAAAAACATCTCTTATGATTCTAAATTCTATGATTGATAACGATTTCTTGTGATTCCTATGCATTCAGCAGGGCATTCAGTATGATTTTCATTACACATCCATAATTGAACTACATAAATCTACTTATGCTGGTAGATGCGAAAAAGAGAACTCTTTGGTACAATAATAATTGATAGCGATGATTTCCTTTTAGAAAAATAAGAAGCTCAGTGTTTACTCGAGTGTATCTTTTCGGCAAAGATTATCTTAATCTTTTTTTGTCCTTTCCTTTTTTCATCTTTTTTTTGAAGGAAAAAAAATGAAGTTTACTCGTATTTCTGATTCGTGAAGAAAACAGAAGCTTCACTTCTGACTTTTTTTTTCTTAATCTTGTTTATTGAACTGAGGTAGGTCATTGAGTGCAAACTTATTTTATGATCTTTCTTAAGTTTATTCACTTCTTTCAACCCAAATCTATTTCATCTAAATGTTTTGTTTACGATGTTAACGTCATAATTTTCTAGAGTTAAAAAAAAAGAGGTGTAACTTATTCCTGCTTTTTGATTTGAATCGAGAAGGGTTTTTATCGGATGACCTAGAAACTGGCTGCATATTGATAACAGCGCATTATCAAATAATATATCATCAATAGTTTTAGGGCTAAATGAGGCTTCAAAGGGACAATGTCAGTTTTGTGATAATGGGATACCGTTTAGTGATTGTTTAAAATATTGTACTAAACTGATATAGATAGCAAGAATATCAAGCACTATTGATACTTCTCTTCATTCAGGGAGCTATTGTTCAATAGTTTTGTAGTAGTATAGTTCAGAGAAGGCAACCACGTCAGGCATCCAATTAGCAAGGGTGCATCCAATTGAAATTGCATAAAACGTAAAACTATAATTTCATTAATAAAATTGTTAGTACTCATGATTTTATAAAGAAGATAATTTAATAAATAAAAAATTATTTTCTTAACAAAGTTTTAGGAAGCTAAATTACTGAAAAAAAGGTGTCCGATAAATTAAAATATTCTTTACATTTGAAAAAAAATAAGAATATTCTGTCGAAATATTTAGTTTTCTACTATGAAATAAATTTTAAATATATTTACGAGAAAACTGATTTTACAATATAGATTTCGAATTTAATTAATAAATAATTTTCAATTTTTAATTGAATAATTCTTTTTTGACCTTTTCAGTGATTTCATTCCACTTTTTAGAACTATCTAATCAAGAAGTTTGTCTCGGGCATCTACCCACTTTTAAACGAAGAAAATTCAATAGAAAATTTCAATAGTAATAATAAAATGGAAAATGAGAATTTAAATCCTACCATACTGGTACCATTTTTATCTATAAAAAAATTCAAAAAATATTTAAGTGCATAAAGATTAATCTTAATCGGATACTAAAATTATTGAATAAAATTTTATTAATTTACGACAGTGAAATTTTGCAAATAAATTAGTTTTTACTCAATATTTAAAAGTTTGCCTTTAATTTTTTAAAATAAATTAACTAAACAAGGTGCTATTAAATAAATCCTGTAAATGAACATTCAAGAATCTTCCACTTTTTCAGAATAAAAAGTGAAACCTATGGAAACTACGAAGAGCTTAAAATAGCTGGTATTTTTATAAGAAATATAAAATTAATATTTTGTGATAGTTTTACCTAATATTCTAAGTTTTATATTAATGGTGTTTTGTTTCTGAAAACTGAAAAAGAATTTTTTTGTTGATAAATAGCAACAGTTGATAACAGTTGGTAAATAGTGTTGATAAACAACAACAGTTTTGCTGAGTAATAGACTTAAAAATTTGTGACATTAATACTGTTTTATTAAACGCTGCTTTGTTTAGTTACTGTTCAAATATCTCCGCAGAATATTGATTTAAATAACAAAAAACTTAAATGATAAAAAATGAAAATTTTTGATATGATTGAAAAAAATAAGCTCAAGAAATTAGAGTGGAAAGATGTGCAAAATATCATTTTCTTCAAAAATTATGAAGGTAGAAAAAATCAAAATTTTACGAGCGATCAAAACTTTTGATTACGAACAGCACAGAGAAATAGGCTAATAGAATGGTTTTATTAGTAGTTTTTGCGCATTGACTTTTAACAAGGATAATTATTCAATTTACAATGAAGATCAAATTTCAAATTTACTTAAAATTTCGTATGTATATGGAAGAAGAAAAATATTTAAAATTAACTTCAAGAATAATCATTAATGTTCTGGAAAGAATAATCATAACTTTATATTTTTTATAATAATGTAAATTTAATTAAGGAAGAATATCACTGTTCAAAAATCAATATATTTGAAAACACTCTTGATAACGTTGAGTCTAATGATTAAATTTTTACACATTAAGCTTACATAGTAGTAATTTAATATTTCTCCAAATGTCGCTCTGGAATATTGTAATGAACTCTTCTCAACTATTAATATAATTGCGAAATCTGATGCAATGTCATTCTCTGGACAGTGTATCTAATCGAATATTCAGCTATCTTAATCTAAGTATTGAATGTTATGGCTTTAATTCAAAGGAATAGGTTGATTAATTTTAAACAATTCATGTTTTAAAATACTAATTGTGATTCAAAATATTTAAATTTTTTAAAATTGTTCGTTAGTAAAGCTATTCAACTGATTTCTTTTACAAATCTTAAGGCTACAGATTTTTTAGTAACTATAAGACTTTTTTTAATAATTAAAAAATACCAAAATGCATTTTTGGTTGTAATTAAAGCGTCAGAAAAATAACACATAAAAGGGACTTCGGTGCGCCAAAGGGTTAACCTTGAAAGAAAGTATAAAAAAGGTATCTTACGCCTAGTAACTCATGTATAGTATCTCACGCAAGTAAAAATAAAAAATACCAGAATAGAAAATGCTATGTCACTACTCAATGATAAATCATCTCTTCAAAGTTATTCACTTTATTAAATTCGACAATTCACAACCCTTTCATCAAGTGCAATGACGTAATTACGCTACAAGTGTCTTCTTATCTGTATCATCACCCTTCGTAATCATATGAAGTTGAAAGTAATTCAAAATATTCCAGAAAGAAAGTTTTTTCGGCAAGCAACATAAAATTTTAGAACAATTTACAACTGGCGTAACCGAAAATTGCGTCAGAACTTTCATAATCTTATTTTCTTGTCCAACATCTTTCACTGGACAATAAGGGGGTACTTTTTTTTCTTACCCCCTTAACCATCTGATATGCTATATGACTCCCATTTTCTTACGTTTGCGTCAGGTGAATTCTGTTTACCTCTATTCACAATAAACTCTGATTAGAAAAATGAATAAATTGGTGGGATTACTTTCTTTTCTTTACTAAAATATCTTAGCTGTCTAAGCGAACTTTAGTCAAACATCTTAGAACTGTGCCTTATTTGGCTGTGGATTGAGTTTTTATTTTTATTTTACTGACTCAATTTGCTTCCAACTATGTCTGTTTCTGACGGCGGTTACCAACGTAAGTTCAAATTAAGGCTATTTTTTAAAATTAGAGAAAAATATTTCTAAGTTAGATTATAAGAATTTATTTTTCTGATACTCTATATGACTCCCATTTTCTTACGTCTGCGTTAGGTGGATTCTATTTTCCTTACTCACAATATACTCTGATTAGAAAAATGAATAAATTGGGGGGATTACTTTCTTTTTTTTACTAAAATATCTTTGCTGTCTAAGCTTATTTTATTTAAGCAACTTAGAATCGTGCCTTATTAGTCTGTGAATTGAGTTTTTATTTTAGCTTTATTGACTCAATTTGCTTCCAACTATGCCTGTTTCTGACGGCGGTTACCAACGTAGGTTCAAATTAAGGCTATTTTTTTAAAATTAGAGACAATATTTCTAAGTTAGATTATTATTTTTCTGATACTCTATATGACTCCCATTTTCTTACGTTTGCGTTAGGTGGATTCTATTTACCTTACTCACAATGTACTCTGATTAGAAAAATGAATAAATTGGTGGGATTACTTTCTTTTTTTTTACTGAAATATCTTAGCTGTCTAAGTTTATTTTAGTGAAGAAACTCAGAATCGTGTCTTATTAGACTGTGAATTGACTTTATATTTTTATTTTATTGATTCAATTAGCTTAGAACTATGTCTGTTTCTGATGGCGGCATTACTCACAATGTACTCTGATTAGAAAAATGAATAAATTGGTGGGATTACTTTTTTTTTTTTACTGAAATATCTTAGCTGTCTAAGTTTATTTTAGTGAAGAAACTCAGAATCGTGTCTTATTAGACTGTGAATTGACTTCATATTTTTATTTTATTGATTCAATTAGCTTAGAACTATGTCTGTTTCTGACGGCGGTTACCAACGTAAGTTCAAATTAAGGCTATTTTTTAAAATTAGAGACAATATTTCTAAGTTAGATTATAAGAATTAATTTTTCTGATACACTGTATGACTCCCATTTTCTTACGTTTGCGTTAGGTGGATTCTATTTACCTTACTCACAATGTACTCTGATTAGAAAAATGAATAAATTGGTGGGATTACTTTCTTTTTTTTTCTGAAATATCTTAGCTGTCTAAGTTTATTTTAGTGAAGAAACTCAGAATCGTGTCTTATTAGACTGTGAATTGACTTCATATTTTTATTTTATTGATTCAATTAGCTTAGAACTATGTCTGTTTCTGACGGCGGTTACCAACGTAAGTTCAAATTAAGGCTATTTTTTAAAATTAGAGACAATATTTCTAAGTTAGATTATAAGAATTAATTTTTCTGATACACTGTATGACTCCCATTTTCTTACGTTTGTGTTAGGTGGATTCTATTTACCTTATTCACAATATTCTCTGATTAGAAAAATGAATAAATTGTTGGGATTACTTTCTTTTTTTACTGAAATATCTTAGTTGTCTAAGCTTGTTTTAGTCAAGCAACTTAGAATCGTGTCAGNAATAAATTGGTGGGATTACTTTTTTTTTTTTACTGAAATATCTTAGCTGTCTAAGTTTATTTTAGTGAAGAAACTCAGAATCGTGCCTTACTAGGCTGTGAATTGACTTTATATTTTTATTTTATTGACTCAATTAGCTTGGAACTATGTCTGTTTCTGACGGTGGTTACAAACTTAAGTATTTTAAGTCAGCTATTTTTAAAATTAGAGACAATATTTCTAAGTTAGATTACAAGAATTAATTTTTCTGATACACTGTATGACTCCCATTTTCTTACGTTTGCGTTAGGTGGATTCTATTTACCTTATTCACAATATACTGTGATTAGAAAAATGAATAAATTGTTGGGATTACTTTCTTTTTTTTTACTGAAATATCTTAGTTGTCTAGGCTTGTTTTAGTCAAGCAACTTAGAATCGTGTCTTATTAGACTGTGAATAGACTTTATATTTTTATTTTATTGACTAAATTAGCTTTGAACTATGTCTGTTTCTGACGGTGGTTACCAACTTAAGTATAAATGTCAGCTGTTTTTAAAATTAGATACTATATTTCTAAGTTTATATATAAGCATTTTATTTTTCTTTCTAATTGAACATAATAATAGCAAAAAACAAATAATTGTATAATTGTATTATTATCAATGAAACTTTGGAAAGAGATTATTTTATAATTAATATTATATACAGAAATAAGGAAAATATTGCGACGTTCCAGCTGCTGATTACGAAATAAATAATATAACGAAACTCATATGGCGTCGTTATTAATTCAGAAGTTTATTCAACAATCATTTATCTTATCATTGCTTGAATTTTTCAATTATTCATGTTTTATTCAAACATCAAACAATAATTGCGTAATTGGAACTTTTCCAATTAGTAGTACAATTTAAACAACCAAATCGCAAACTTAATGAAGCCCACAACCAAATCAACTGTCATGGCAATGTATGAATGGTTTTTTTAAATGCAAGTCACTTATATTTTTCATTTTTTTTTAAATCTTTTAACGCAAATGAAATTATGAATTGCCAATAAATTATTTTAAATAATTTTTCTGACCTTCTTATGGTTATCATTATTACTTAGAAAAACTAAAATTTGCTGGCTATTATAAGTTGAGAAATTATGCATAATTAGTAAGAAGAGAAACCTTTTAAACGCGAACTTGAAATTGAATAAATTAAACAATTTTTGGCAATCAGTTTAACAAAAATGATGTATGGCACAATTAAAATATGTTTTAATTTAAACGATTTATTAATTATTATTTTTTATTTTATTTTGAAATTTGATTGCTTTAACTTTTAGCCGTAATTTGTATTAACAACTTTTACTTCTTTATCAATTAGTATTATTTATGCAGTTTATACAATATTTTTTAAGTAAATTAAAGTATATGTGGAATTGATTATGATTATTACATTTTATATGCATTTTGTAGGCTAAGTACTAGAACTTTTTATTCTCTTCTTTTTTCAAATTAAGAAATAATTACAAAAGGAAAGGCTTATAATATTACCAGCATAACATCATTGTAAAAAACTATGAAGCGCAATTAATTGTTTAAAATAATAATTTAATATTTGAATGAAAAAGTTTACAGAGCATTAATCTGTCATCGTGTAACTTTTCCTAACATTCATGTTTTGAAAAATTGTGTTTATGACATTTTTTAAAGATCATGCAATTGTTAAAAAATTCAAACAACTCCTGTTTTTTTCTTTTCTGATAATATCTATTTATATAATAAAGATAAAACAATTGCAAATCACCTAAGTTAATTATGAAGCAAAATTTTATTTATCTTCAAACTCTTAAAGTTTGTTTACCTTTTTGTTGTCACGGTGCTTAAGCACGAGAGATAAGATCTTTACTCAAGTATAACTATCATTTAATCTCAAATACATTTTGTTTCTGCGAATGTGACTGCTTACTCTATATTAGAAAAACAATTAATTTGTTACTATTTCAATTGATTTAGAACACTTTAAAAGACTTTTTAATACTTATTTTGTAAATTAAGAAACAGTAAATCATAAAATGATTTGTTTAATGGCTCATTGAGTGTGTCTTATTGCAACATAATTTGTCCCAGTATTACAAATAATAAAAAAGAGCACGTGTGTCGATAATTGAAAGCGTGAACCTCAATAAAATGAGATTTCTTATTTTTTCCCCTTTTCTGTTATTTTTCTTTATTTTCAACACATTATTATTATGAATTAGCAATTCTTGTTTGTACGTCTTTTCTTAGTTTTTGTTTACATTAATAATTTTAAAAATATCAAATAAATTTATTCCAATGACCGTACTAGGATTCTGTTTTATACACTTTTCAAGAATGAAAAAAAGATTTCTCCCTATGGTGTTGGGTTTTCAAAGGCACGCTTACAGTAATGTCATACAAATAAATTATATGGAGTTGCTATCTTAGATAATTATATAAATAAGTGGGGTTTGAAAAAGAGGAACTGGGATTTTGGAAGTAAAAAAACGGTATTTCGAAGAAAAAATATTTTTCTTTTAAAAAGGCTAAAAGTAGTTTACCAATCGTCAAAAATATTCGAAAAAGGAGTATTTACTTTTAAGTCATATTTTTTTAGCAATGCAAAAAAAAGAAGAAAAAAATAGATTTATGAAAGGATTTTCAATTTAATTGGTTTCTAAACTTGTTTTCTAGCAACTAAGACACAACAACGTAACAACTAACGAGCACAGTTAAGAAAATTAGAACGGTATATTTCAAATTGTCTGATTCATGAATTTTCTTTGAATACTAAGACAATACTAGATTTCGGATCCATATGCAGAGACAAACCACCGGACTGGAAGTAAATTAGTGAACGTCATTTCCTAAAATCTGAGTTTTATCCCCGTGTAACAAGCATCTTTATTAAAGCATGAATAATTTCTTTAATTATTATGCTTAAAAATAGTTTAAAAAAATAATAATAAAAATAAGTCAGCAACGTTAAAGCGGTTTAAAGTTTTCAAAAATTTGTTCAGTATTTGCTGCAGGATTTCTCTAGTATTTTAAGTTGGATTCACAATTACGAAAACGAAAGCTAAATTATAGATACCATAGGTACTGTACCACATACCTAAATACCAAAACAGAGGATACCGAGTTGAAGCTTGGTATCTTCATTTATGGAAATGATACCAATGATAAAAAGACGTTAAAAATTGTAAACCGATTACGGTTTCATAAAATGATGCAAAACAGTGTTATTATGTAGTTCGGGTTTTTGCCCATTGTTTTTTAAATTCGTCGAATTTTAACAAAAATAATAATATGCAATTATTTGAAGTAAAAAAATTTATGAAATCATATAATTTGTATTTACTGACCTTGTTAATAGGATTGTCATCAGCAAATGCAATTTTCAACAATCTAATGGCGGGAATTTCCTTTATTAGAAACTAAGAAACAATGTCAAAAGTTAGCGAAAAAGCACCATGAGAAAAAAACAGAAGCATAAAACATATTTGGGACCGAGATAGCCTAGTTCGTGGGGCCCATGTCCAAGAGGTTGTGGGTTCGATCCCAGCCGGTCGCAGACTCCCCGTGTAGTATATGGTGACTGATGCACATTAAATCTGTCGAGTCACCAAGTCCTCCATGCTCCCGTATCAAATCATACCTCTAGGGGTACTGATCCAGGAGTTTCCCCTTCTTCTAGATTAGTTCAAAATTACAAGGCTACGGAGTTGAACATTAGTAGTCATAAACCCAATAATTGGGTCGGCTCTTCAACAACGACTATAAAGGAAATAACATATTTGAAATATATATGATGTTACAATTAAATTTGTTGCAGTTATCGATGCTGTAAAATCAAATTGTTATAATAATTTATTTAATTTCAGGGCATCGATTAGAAAGGAGAATGTCAGAGGTCAGAGCACACGCAGTTACCGATGTGATTAAGACCTGCATCAATCAAAAAGTAAAGTATTCATTATTGTTTGTCTTATCCAAACCATACCGAGAAACTGTTAAAAAAAATTAATAATCAAGAGATATGCTATCTTCATAATTATAGAATAAGTTTTAGAGCTTGAAAAGAGAATATCACTGTAATATTTTCCTAATCAATATTATTTTATTTTTACACAGTTTAAAAAGTGAGCACATTTGAGAAAATCGTCCTAAAAGTGTAAGTCGAACCTCATAAATATACGACGTTTTTCTAGTTGACGATCGTATGCATGGCTTTCGCAAACATTGAAAAGGGTTCTTAAATATGCTCGCTGACATTATAATTCCTTGCATTATGAACTGATATAGTTAAAAATTTATAAGTATGCATAACACCAACCTAGTTTTCGTTACATTTACATTTAATGATTTTGAATTATTAATTGATATTAGAGGAGTTTGAAAAAAAATTGCATTATAACTTTCAATCTGTAATTTAATTACAACTACAAGCAAACACAACAAAAAAACTTCTACATGAAAAAAAAAACTGTCTGTAAATCTCTAGAATCGAAAATGGTCACTGAAATTAATTAATTGAGGAACTTAGTGTAAGACGATGGCATATTTTTGAGGCATTGAGCTGTTATAGTGGAGTACTGAGCTTCTAAATCTTTGGTGAATTGAAAATCATCAGCTTTAGATAGATGGGTATCAGCTTTACTGCGAAGTAAAGGTGGTCAGAGCGCAATACTGATCACATTTTCACCATCCTGCCATTGGACATGATCCCTCTATCACAATAGGATGTTGTTGAGGAATTTGTTACTTTTTTTAATTGTATGCGGGATTATAAAAAAACTGTCACAATTAGTTTCAGAAAGCTTAAACCATTGTATATGATCTTCAATAAAAGGTCATATTATTCACTATACAATACGAAATGCGCAATGGTTAAACACTTATGACAATTTTTATTTATATATTTTTGGAAAACACTTTTTAATTAAACAAAAAGTTCATTACTAAATAAAATCCTAAGAGTTGTTTGTGAATTTCAAAATGTGAGAAATTTTACATTCGAAACATATTTTTTTTTAGAATAATGATCTTCCATTTTACGTTGCTGATTTCTCCGACGTAGTCTACAAATGCCGATACTGGAAAAGCAAATTACCGAGAGTGGAGCCCTTTTATGGTAAGATAACTTTTTTTTTAAAAATCAATTTATCGATTTGTTTTTACGTGATGAGATTATGTACAATAGTTTTGTGAGTAACACTACAGATGACAGAACCACTACCAATCGGACAATATTAAAAAATGATCGGGAGCACGCAGGAAAAAAAATTCCGGTACAACTATCGCACTGTACAGAAGTGACTTTTTTGGTAAAAAAAAATGGTATTAAAACCCAAAATATATGTTATTTAAGCTATTCATTTGCTAATTTTCCCATTCGTAGGGTAATGGTCTACCAGCAATTCTGGTTTACAAAAATATACTTCTTATTACCACACATTTGATAAAAAATACGCAACTGAATTGTAAATTTAGCCAAATACATGATTTTTATACCAAGGTCTAAGGAATCATGATGGAATTACCAAATTTTAACTCGCGTACCACTTTTTATCACATATTATAAAACCATATTTAATTACTAAGTGCTTCGGTAAAAATAAATGATCTTTTTAATGATCCCATAGATAAATTTACCTTATTCTGAACGTTTTAACCAATCTTTTCTTTTATTATGAAACTCTAAAGAAAAGACTTTCCTATTTATTACGTAAACATAAGGGAAACAGCTGTTTTCTACTTTTTTCATTTTACTGTCTGTAAGATGTTATGAAATTGCGTGTAATATAAGTTAAAAAATTATTTTTTATAGTTTACTGTCTCTTATATTTTTTATGACTTTTTTATAACTCAGTAAAAAGCTATATAAAATTGTAAAATGTCTAACATCTAACCAAAATTCGCTCTTCATCTAACGATAATATTAAACAAAATATGTGAAGCCTTAAAAAGGTACTAAAATTAACCATTTCGCAGTAGTATCAAGTATTCAAATTCAGGAAGAATTAATTTACTTGGTAATATGGTTCAACTTGCATCATATTAAGGTTGCAACAAATTCGAACTATATTACATGTTAACACATCTAAAATTTTTAATGATCCTTAAATGAAAAATTATATTTTTTCCTTCGTGTAATTTTATTAAATACACTCTGACTACATTTTAAATTGTTGCACAGAAAAAATTCTTCTTCCAAATTTTATTAAAATTTGAATATGTCAGAGTTATAAATGCCACAATTTTAAATAAAAACAATGTGGTCTGTAATACGATTCAATTTTTGAATTTAATTCAATTAGTGTTCGAAATTCATAATCATGTAAAATTATTAAAATAAATTACGAGTTTCACGAAATATCCACTCACACTTTCTGATGTCACCAACGAAAAAAAAATGAAACTTTTCGTAATATCAAAATTTATTTTAGGCTTCTTTTGTTTTGTTAACAAGAACAAGAAATACGCAATACTTTTCCAAAGTTAATATAAATAATTTTGTTTCATGTATTTTTAGTCACTTTATTTATATATATTTTTGGTTTATCTTTTAAAATATATCTGTTGTAATTAAATAATAATTGTGGAAATTTATCTTACTTATTGCAGCAGTGAAATGCAACTCTGATCCTCTGCTTCTCCAACTTTTAGTGTCTCTTGGAGTGCGCTTTGACTGCGCCAGCAAAGTATGAAGTTTATCTATTAAAAAGAATAATAGATATTGGCAACTATTTTTTATTTGCTCACAATGATTTACACCTTAAAAATTTGTTATTATAATAAGGCTAAATGTTTTTATTTAATAAAAGAATGTAATGGTTTCACTAGCCATTAATTTATTTATCAAAAATTAGGGATTTAAACTCCTTATTGTAAACACATATTTTAATTTTTTAACTATAAACTTATCCAATACTCTATTGTATGTTTATAAATTATTTTCTTGACTATTACTTTACCTTCCACATGGGAATTTATAAGAAAAATTGTACCCTTTAACAAAAATTCATAACCTATAAGATTCATTTCGAAACACTATAAAAATATTTGAATTTCTAAAAATGATTAAATTAAGTTTGTCGTAAAATAACACGAATAACTCGTTTCAAGTACATTATTAAGTTAAATCGTTCGTAAAATAAATCGAAAACACAATATTAAATAGAAAATTTTACTTGAACTCTGAGTTATTTTTATTGCATTTTTAAAATTACATTTGTTGCTTAACGACTGGCGGATAAATTTTATTTAATGCGGAAAGGTTTTTTACTAAACAAATAAATATGAATATAAAATGTTTTCATTTAATATTAGTAAAAGCGTTTATTTTTAATTAAATTTTGGGATTTTAAAGGTAAATAAATTTCAAAGAAATTAACCTCTGTAAAATTTGTTATAAGGCAAATATAATTTACTTTGAATTTTAAAAAAACTATAAACATTATAGTATTTTAATTAGGATTTCGAAGCAATTAAATAATTTAAATAAAAATAATAATAAACCATTTAAAACCGCTAAATACCAATTTTTAATTTTAGGACTTATGTCCTTTGATATTATTATTATCTTTATTTCTACATTGGAACATTTTCTTTTAAAAATGTGTTTACTGATTATTTTCTGCTTTATAGAAAATCCTTTAAAGTTTATATATTATTTTAAAATTTTTTTTTCATTTTTTATTAGGGTGAAATTGAAGCTGTATTGGCAGCAGGCGCAGATCCATCAGACATTATTTATGCCCATCCTTTCAAATCAAACACGTTTCTCAGATATGCCTCTGCTGTTAATGTCGATCTGATGACTTTCGACAGCGAGCACGAGCTCTTCAAAATTAAAAGGGTCTATCCACATGCGAGGTAAATTTTGCCAAAACTTATTCTACATTTGATACTGCACAATGGAACTCTTAAGATAGTCAGGAAGTTTAACTATTTCTCAAAAAAATAGCTAATTAAAACAGTATTGAACAATTTAATCGATAAATGAGAAAGCAAGCAATGCTTGGTGCAGTTGTTGTTGATGTCGGCCAATAAGACAGAACTACACTTTTAGAAAATGAAAATAGAAGTACTTTGATTACTTTTCAAAAGCCTTTAAGTACAATGCAAAATAAGAAACGGAATACGGTATGATCTAATCATTGGATTTTCACATTCTAGGACTCAATCTTAATGCTTCGAGGGGATGACCTCAAATATGTTTATTATTAATGCTGACGATATTTTAAGTTATGAAGTTAGACGTATACTGAAAGAAAACACAAATAATTAAGATCAAAAGGATAAAACTTCTTTGAAAAAAACGCGCTAAGAAGCAGCAGAAATTTCAGAAAAAAGTATCAATACAAAACAAATGAAATAAAATAAAAATATGACCACCGAAGCCGACGTCNCAATTTAATAAAACAATAAATGAGAAAGCAAGCAATGCTTGGTGCAGTTGTTGTTGATGGCCATTAAGACAGAACTACACTTTTAGGAAACAAAAATACTTTGATTACTTTTCAAAAGCCTTTAAGTACAATGCAAAATAAAAAATGGAATACCGTATGATCTAATCATCGGATTTTCACATTCTAGGATTCAATCTAAATGCTTCGAGGGGATGACCTCAAATATGCTTATTAATTAATGCTGACGATATTTTAAGTTATGAAGTTAGACGTAAAAACTTACCTTCTCTGAATAAACATACAATGTTTCGGCAAATTTTGATTTCTGACTTTCAAAATATAGGGGGTAGCCGCAGTCTATGAAATATTGTCCTTATAGTTTAGTCGGGAGAGAGGTCTTAAGTTTGGAACCCTTAATGTTAATTTTACTTTCAGCGTATTTCACCATATCTCGAGAATTTTTTAAGCGAATTGCACATAATTATGAAATTTGTTTTTCCGAACATAACTCAATGCAAAAGATAACTTTTAGTAAATATTTATCATTTTTTTATTATTTTATTTATTTGTAGTCGAAAAAAGTTTAAATTGTAAATTACGCAAATTTTGACATCATTTTAAAGTATTCAATTTTAAATAGCAAAATGCAAAATTTGATCGAAATTGGTCGAATAGTTCCTGATAAACAGAGTTCTGAAAATACGACTTTTTACCAGATTGCGGCTCCCTCCTATGCTTTGGAGATCGAAATCTGAATCTGTTGAAAAACGCTCTGTTTATTCAGCAAAAGTACATTTTTGTATTTAATTTCATAACTGATTTGAGGAACTTTGATTTGAGGTCACGACTCCATCGTACCATTGAGATTGAGTCCAAGAATAGGAAGATCCGATCGTTAAATTAAGTTATTTAGGGTGGATCGTTTATTTTTGCGTGCATTGTACTTCTATCTTTTCTTGCTATTTATTAAAAAAGTATATTATGAAAATACATTCAAAAAAACTCATTCATCCGTTTGTAATTTAATTTCTATCGTTTAATTTTCAATATTTGAACTGAATATGATGTAACAAGATAATTTTGGTCAACAAATCATTGTAAAAATATTGTCTGTGACTTATACAACATTTTAGAGCTGCAGTAAAAAATCCTTTGCCGTTCAAAAAAATGTGCTTGCGTTATTTTTTCATTCTATAAAAATAGGAATAAACAGATTTATTACGTCATACAATGACAAATATTATCATAGCTTTCGTTCAGATAATTTTTGCGATTTTTATACCATTTGAAATCACGATATTAAAGTATCCAGCTAATTTAATCTAGACAGCAGGTGTTTCAACTACCTTTTATCATTTTATGATTAGGACGAATAAACATTCTTTTACAAGAATTGCATAAAAGTGTTTTTATTTAATCCGAATATAAGAAAGTATAACTGTTGCACACTATTTTAAGTATGTTCTTATTCGTTAAAAATAATAATAAAAAAAACTGCTAGTAAAGATACGTAATTTTTACCTTTTTTCATAATTATTTATCACTTCTTTTGGTTATAAATATAAAGTCCTTACAAAATATAAGTACAATATAAATGGTTATAAATCATGGTTGTCAAGTAGAATTTATTTTTCTCGAAAAAGAAAGTGGAACGAAAGCGTCTTGCTTTTTATATTTTTCGGATACGTAGAAACCTTGCATTTTGCAAACCTTGAGAAACATCTGCTCACTTTTAAATCTTTTAAAAAAAGATTTATTTAATAAAATGTTCAGAGTGTTTTACGCAAATGGGCGGTATCACATTGCGAATTTATTTGGATACATTACTTTATTACTAAGATGAAAAGTAATTGACTTAGATGTGTCACTTAGATTAGTAAAGCCTGCAATTAATTATGTGTATAATGCATAAAAAAACGGTTTATTAGTTGAATTTCATTGTGAACGGAAATTGATAATTAGTTTAAAAAAATTAGTACAATATCTACCATTATATATTTGAAATTGAATTGCTTTCTTATGTTATGCACATTGAACACTTTGAAAGCTTAATTTAATACCCTTTTAGAAAACTTGGCTTTACGTTGAAACATAACATCGCCATGTTGAATCATTATTGGTTTCGAACTAGTTTCAACATTAATAAGGTGGTAAATTGAATGATGTTTTAGTTCCAGATTTAAGAAGTAAATATTTTGGTACAACTTAGCCTCATGTTAAGACTGTTGTAGAAAATTTGATTGATATTATGGTTTAGTTCAATACACTCAGCAATTTTGAGCACTATAGAACAAAACTTAAGTCCATGCATATTCCTAATTAAAAAAATATAGTGTCCAACGGCACTTTCTCATTAAGAACTACAACAATAAGAAATAATTAATGGAATCATGTAACAGTAACAATGGATTTTGTTTTAACTTTGCAGTGTGGTTTCCTGACAGTATTTTTAAAACTTGTTTTTTAGATTAATATTGCGAATACAGATACCTGATGTCAAAGCGGCTTTTCCACTTAGTGATAAATTTGGTTGTGAGCTAAAACAGACAAAGAAAATGCTTCTCCTGGCATACAGCTTGAACATGAATGTGGTCGGAGTGAGGTGCGTTAATTTTTAGTTCTTGTTTTCTTCTTAATACTAATAGTTTAAAGACATGAAACTAATTATAGCTTTTTTATTGGTAACTTTTCGTTTTACCTGAGTAATACATTTAAGCAATTTCGTATTACCTGAAATATACATTTAAGTAACTGAAATGCAGTAAATTTTTTATCTAAAACAGATGTGTAAAGCGAAATCTTGAGCTCCTTAGTCGCATGAAATAATGCAAATAATATGCTATTTTCATAACTGCTATGAGTTTGCAACATCTAGTCATGACTGTTAGGTTAAGTTTAGCCTATATTTAACTAGCACTCTATCTAGGTTTATTCTGAAAATGGCGCAAAAGGTCACTTTGGAGAAAAACCATAGTTTTGAGAAAATGAAAAGTATTTATGGTCATATTTTTTATCATTCAAAAACTGCATTATCTGGCCTTATAAAAGTTTGCGAAAAAGGAGAATAAGGCATTGAATTTACTAAGTTTTATTTAGGTGAAAAATGTCCCCAAATTAGCGATTCTTTAAAACAGTGTTTCCCAAAGTGTGGTACGACTACCCCCAGGGGTACAGGAACAGTTCTTATGCGAAATATCGCGCAAAAAACGAAAATTTAAATTTTTTTTTAAATTTGAAAACAAAGCTATCCATGAAAATTTACGGTTGCGTATTTTTCTATTGTTTATTTTTTGAAGAGTCAACAGTTATTAACTAAAATATGTTAATAAAAATAAAAATAATTTTAAAAGAAATACATTCATTTTTTTATTAGTGGTACACAGATTTACGAAAAATTAGAAAGGGTACACTAAAGTAATAAGTTTGGGAAACACTGCTTTAAAAGAATCGAATAACTTTTAAAATACTTTTGTTGTTTGTCTACTTTAAAGTCCAGATAATTTGCTATCGCAATATGGAATGTATAGTTGAAAATTATAGCTTCCCTTCAAGTGTAAGCACCTGAATTGTGTTTTTAAAATTTGTTTTGAAACTATTTTGGCAAAAGAAATTCGAAAAACCGCGATAACGCGGAAACGAAGAGGTAAAGGAAATCCTCAACTAGTGCTCAATTTCTTAGAAAGCAGGCATTTTTGTTATTTTTGTAATTTTTAATTAGCAAAAAAGCAATTTTTACACAGTATCATAAGAAATAATTAGATTCCCAAGAGATAATATATGGAAGAATAAATAGCTAAAAGATAATAAATTGTTTATAGAATTCATAGCGCAAAATGTGTTTTAATTATTGTTATAAATTTTTATTTTGCATATTTTTGATTAGTGGATTCTTTTAGTTATATTCTTTGATACATTTTACAGCTTCCATGTTGGAAGTCTTTGTGAACAACCATACGCATATTCCAAAGCAATCTCAATGGCCAAAGAAGTATTTGAGACAGCAGAAACTATTGGATATCACTTCACAGTGCTGGACATTGGAGGAGGATATCCAGGGTCTTCTGGTTCTCAAGATATGTTCGATAAAGTATGAAATGGCTATAATTAACTCTCTAACTTTAATCCCTAATTAAACTGAAAATTATAAATTTTAAATCTAAATACTCTAAAACTAAAATAGTAAAACTTGAACCTAAGTTATATCTTTAACTTAAACCGTATATCATTTCTGTTTTGCTAAATCAATGTAATGCTGTAGTTTTTTTTTTTTTTTTTTTTNAATTAAACAAAATTATAAATTTTAAATCTAAATACTCTAAAACTAAAATAGTAAAACTTGAACCAAGTTATATCTTTAACTTAAACGTATATCATTTCTGTTTTGCTAAATCAATGCAATGCTGTAGTTTTTTTTTTTTTTTTTTTAAATTGTTTCATTAATTTTGATACGAAATGCATTCTAACTATTGCATTGTATTTTAAGATTTATTATTATTATTTAATAAGTTTCAATGTGAAATAAAGTAATAAAAAATTATAATCTGCGTGAATTATTGATTTGTTGGAAGAAGGGAACATTTTTAAGCGAAAGAAAACAGAATAAAAAAATTAATAAAATACTTGCTTTTACCCCAAAAGTGTGTTATTTTTCATCGTCGGTCTTATGGCACACATAAACATTAAGCGAACGGTAAAGTTCCTAAATAATAAATTTACTACATAGAACTAAGTTGTTTGTGAAATTGTGATTTTTGTTTTTCATTTTCCTTCTCTTTTTATTTATTTTCCCCCTTATTCAGTTTACTCATTTATTTTACAAATAGTCCAAGAGCTTAGTTCTTGATTTATTTTAAAATAACGACTTCATCTTCATGACTCTAGTGCACTTCCTAACTCTGGTGCTGCCATCTACTTTCTTTATCCGTATTAAAAACATATATATTCATGGTTTAATGTAAAAATGTAATGCTGCCATCTGTCGACATTTATTTACACTAATATTTTTAATTATTTTGGAAGCAATTAAATGTATTTTTATTTACAACAGTTATAATTAAATAAATTTATAAGTATGAAAAGGTGTCCCGTTTTCACTACTTTTTGAAAACTGTATTTTATGATATTATTGACTTTGGTGAATATTAGAATTCTTGGGTATTCTAACATTCCTCAACATATCTTTCTAACCCTTAGAAAAGAGAATATTTTAAATCTATATTATAGAGTAGTTTGAAAAAAAAAAAAGGTCAAAAAATATTTGTATTAATATTTTATTATTCCGTGATTTTGGAAAACATTGTACCATGTATTTATAATACAAATAAAGATTATCCACATTAAAAAATTATGAATTCGCATTTTGAAGTTTTTTTTACATTTGTTTGTTTCTAAATTTCTAAGACGTTGCGTGTTTATAATTTTTGTTTTTTTAGATGGCTTATTATATCAACCAAAGTTTGGAAGACCATTTTCCAAAAGGATGTGGTGTCCGAATCATAGCAGAACCAGGATGTTATGTAGCTTGTTCCGCTTATAACTTGATCATTAAAATCTTAGGCAAAAAGATTGTGAGAGAAAATGATTCTGCTGATGACGGTAAGTTCATTTCCTACAGATTTTGTGCAATTTTTAGCTTCACGATGAGAATTTATTAAAAAAAAGTATATTATATTAAAAGTTATTTAGTGCACACTTCATAAAGTATTGGGATATGGAATTAACGAGACGTAATTAAAATATACCAAATAAATTTTTTGTTACTTAAAGTGTATTCTGGTGAAAGTAGTGGAATAAGAAATGCAAAAAATGAAGAAAAAAATAGTAATGCATACTATAATATAAATTGTAATGATAATAAGTTATTTAACCGAAAAATTAATCAATAATTACAAACGATGCTCGCAAAAAATATATATATATTGTTTAAAAAAAATTTTGATAGTCCAGTAATTAAAAAGCACATATTTGAATACCACATATTTCAAAAATTGCAGATAATTAAGTAATATTCGCACTAATAAATGATAAAAAGGCATTTTAATTTATCAAAAAAATTCAGTGTATTAGCAAATTCTTTTTTAAGAGTTTCGTGTTATTTAGAAACATTTCTGTAAGTCAAATATTTATGAAATTTTATGTAATCCATTTGCAGAAATTATGATAGTTTTTGAAATTTCGTTTAATTAATTTCTGCAAAATACTGTTCTTTTTTTAATATTTTCAAGGTATCCGACTACCTTAAAAAAAACTAGTAATATACCACTAAACTACTACTATCTAATATATTTTAAAAGTGCTTACAATTGAGTTAAAACAAATTGCACTTTGCAAAGGAGAAATAATGTGTTTTCTGAATAAAATTTTAAGGCTCTTATCAAGGACAACAACTCAATTAACCTTGTTTAAAATAGAAGCACAAAGCGAAATTTTATAATTTGAGAAAAAGGGAAGTTGAAGTTAATGCTTTTCAAATCTTGAATCAAAAGTAAACATGGGTTTATGCAATTCTTTCTTCGTTTAGATACATTGATTTAAAAAAAAACAACAGCAAAACAGAATTGTTCGAAATATTTGAACTGACGCAGTTAAATGCTTGTAGTTTACACGAAAATTTACGTATGAAGTAATGTTTAAATCTTGATAAACCAGTCTTGATCATGGTGAAATCAACTATTTTAAAATTCTGGTTTCTCTAAAAAAAGATGACTTATTTCTCGATTCATAAAAAATTGAAATTTAACTATTTTCCATTTAAAGATCTCCATATATCCGAATTCTATTTCCTTATTTTGTCTCAAATATTCTATTGATGACAGATAATTATTTTTAACCAGATTTTGGAACATTTCATTGGAGTTATAATTAAAAAAAAAGTATAGATATTTCATTTTATTCTTTCATTCTCCGTATTTTTCAATAACCTTTGAACAATGAAATTCAATAAATAAATAAATTAATTAATAAATGAATACATAAATAATAATAATTATATCAGTGTTTTTATTAATTAAAAGTTATTAAAATATGTTTCCTTTTTTTATTGGATTAAATTATTGGTTAATTATTGGCATTGTGGCATTATAATGATAAAGCATGTTTTCAAATTGTTAGGTGAATGATTTCGATGCAAAATATCTAGTTAAAACTTCGGAAACTTACAAAATATCTATATGGAAGCAATACTAATAAACAGGTTGATGTAAAAATGTCACATTCAGAAAAGGTCCTATTTACCTCTACATTTCTCAAATATATCAAAACTTTTCATGTTACAATGTGATAAACAATGTATTGATACATTTAAAAGAATTCATTTATGCACTGTTATTTATATATTCTAATTAAGAATTTTTTTATTATTTTGTTACAGATAGCTACAAATCAAAAACAAAATATTTGTACTACATGAATGATGGTGTGTATGGATCATTTGGTTATGGTTTTGAAAAATATGGCTTTAGAATGAAGCCTTTACTTGTAAGTATTTTATAATATTTATTAATTACGTCTTATCAAATGTCCTCCATTTTGTATTTATAATTGAAATTTAGAGTTGTGACACTGTTTAGGGTTAAATGAAAATTGATAAAATTTCATAGTTTTTACATGCTTATTATTTTTTAAAAACTTTACCAACGTTCATTGTTTTGTTTGTATCAAAATCAGTCATATAGATTTTTAACCAATTTTGCTTGTAGAATTTTCCTTTTCCCTTTTTAATATAAAATTCATTGGAAAAATCATGTCTTGCGTAATTTTTTATTGATGATAATCCTATATTTGAATCAAACTTGGCCATTTGTTTCACCATAACATCCAAATTATATTTCCTTTTTACAATGATTTGAAGGTGATAAGAAAAGAACCGATAAATATATAGAGATTTTTTTAAAAATTTCTTACATAAATATTTTTAAATCCAAGTTTAAATTTATATTTTTAATACTATAAAATTTAATTACAGTTAAAACTTGGAAAAAAATTGTTGAGTTACAATTAATAATTATAACCATGCCATATTAAAGGTAATTTGGAACATATCGTGTAAAAACAGTATTTAAATAACCTGCTTTAAGCAATCAAGTTATGCCTAAACTAACAATCCCTTTCATTTTTTTAGACCTTACATCTAAAATATTCCAATCAAAATTTTTAGTTGAACATACGTTTGAATAATATATAAACCTGAAAAATATATAACAGGGAGTAAAGAATAATTTTAGCTAAGAACTATAACATATACATATTAATAGACAAATTTTGTTATTTTTAGAGTAAATCTCAGATTGCAAGCCGTCCTACCTCTTGCAGCAAACTATGGGGAGTATCATGCTGCAGTTCCGATTGCATCATTGACGACTGTCTCCTTCCTGAGATGGAAGTTGGAGAATATATTGTATTTGACAACATGGGAGCCTACACTCAGTGCCTCACAACAAACTTCAATGGCTTTCCAACACCAATCACACATTACATCTTCCCACCACAGCTGCAGTAAGTGATTATGCGTTGTTTATTTATTTGTTAATAAATGCTGAAAATTTTTATTATTTTAATTTGATTAGTTATTACCTTTCTATTAATATTAATAAAAAGTTAATAATTTATATTAATATTTAATAATTTTTTTATTAAAAATTTGTTTTTAATTATTAAATTTGAACTTGAAGAAATCAATCAATAATAATATAACCTTTATTCGTTATTATGAAAATTTATCATTAACCATTAATTTAGATTTATTTACAAAAATTTATTATGGGTATTTATTAAATATAATAATTAAATTAATAAGACCGATGATGAAAAAATAAACAAATAATTTAATTTCAGTAATAACGAAATGATTTCTATCACTGTTTTTTAAAAACACATTTTCATTGATCTTTGAATTTATGTGTCAGAAAAAAAACATAATTATGAATTCCATCATGTTAGCAGCAAACAAAAATAAATTTAAATAACAATATTTAATTACTAGAATTAAATTAATTTTATCCCAACGATAAGTTAACAAAGATAAACTATTTCTTTAAATTTCTGAGAAATTACCCTACTTTGTGACTACGATAAACTCTATCAAAATATAGGCAACATAGAAAAAAATAAAATAATTATACATGATCACACGAGATGCTTTACAATTTTAAGGAAACGTCCCAGAAAAAAAAATCGTAGTTTTCTTGAAAAATTATTCAAAATAATTAAATTTAAATTAAAAAGTATTTTTAAAGCGCTTGAATCTGCATCTGACCGTAATATGAATATTACAGCGAATATGACAATTCGAATATTTAATATGAATATAAAAATTCATTAAACCATCTTAAACTTCCATATTTGCATTAATTATTCTGCTATTTACATAATTCTAAACTGCTAGCATTATATATTCCGCTTCAAACCGAAACTAAAATATCCAACTTAATAAATAGACATGTAGGGCGTGGGCAACATCGTGATAAGCCACACTTTTCCCAAAAGTGCTATTTTTACATTAAACCGTTTCGTAATATTGATTACAGAAAAGTACTTAAATAACTTCCAGAAATTTACCCTAGTTAACAGAGTGTATCACACAGAAACATTTCATTGCTTGATCGGAAATCATTGTGTTTTAAATCAAAAATTCTTCAAAAGGCGCTCTTTAAAAGAATTTGAATATGTGGCTTATCATTATATATATTGCTCCAAACTCATCATTTCTACAAAATAATGCATACAGATTAGTAAATTTTATATTTTATTTCAGGAACAATTCTGACTCACTGCCACCTTTTGACGATTTCTGCCAAGAACTTGGAAGCTCTAAACTCAAATCATTCATCAAGATTCAACATTACATTTGCCACGATGACTCAAACGACGATCTCTTCCGAAAGGGATGAAGAGGCTCATTTTTCTGAACTATATTTTATTTAACTATTTTTTCTAGAATATTGCATACCTGGTGGCGTGAACAGTAATTCTCAAGACAATAAAAATAACTGCTCGGTCTGGGCACCGCTTTGCCATTAGAAATATTGGAGTAGTATGAGGAAAAAAGGGATTGTCTGTTCAAGTGCTTTTAAGTTTAACTGCTTCATCGTTTATTGTATAAAGTTTTAATAAAATCTGGTCGTTATTTTATTGATTTTGTATTATTTCTTTAACGTTATTAGAATCATCGATAATATGTCTTTTACAGAGTCTTTCTAATGCGACAGCTGAGACAAAGCTGTTTTCTGAAATTTTCTAAATGAAGACATTTAATGAATTAACTCTCAGAAATATCGGTTCCAGTTAATACATCATAATTATATCTAGAACCATAATATCGTATATATTAATTACAACCTTAATATGTTGATGAATTAAACCATATTTTACAAGTAAAATCATAGTATTGTGTAATCAAGTCTAAGAAGAATAAATTTTCACGATAATATAGCTAAACTTGGTTTCGGAAAACTGTCACGATCTAAATAATTCTAGGTACTTATATGATGGATTAGCGTCTAAAGGATTTTTCTGAAATCTAGTAATAAATTATTAAAATAATTACGTGTACGGGATGTGAAACAATGTTTTTAAATATTAAAAAGTCGAAAATCATAACCAAATTCATGTAAGAAGTAAACTAAGAAAATTCTTTATTTCGAAACGCTATAGGGCTGTAAAATTAAACTAAATTGAAATCAATGAATATCAATCACATAATTATTTTTGATTTTGGGTGGATAGGGTGGGGCGTCCAGATAGTTTTACGCTCTCAGAAGATTGGTATATGTTTAAACCATTATATCGGTACCTTGAACCATAATATCGAGCAAATTTGCCTCAACTTTTAGTGTGTTAAATCAAAGCTTTTTTTTTTTCGTTTGAACTGATTCATAGTTTTGTGTGATTAAGTTTGAGAATGATTATTGTGAACGATAATAAGGTTACTGATAATATGGTTACAGTTAGGTGACGTAGGAAGACTGTAGAAAATTTAAACTACATTATGGTTCTACATGTTTAAATTGATTGAAAATATTTAAATAATATTATTGTTAAAACTTATTTAACTTTGAACACATCGGCTGCATGATTGGTCTAATATCGGTCACTAATACTAAATTGGGGATACTAATAATACTAAATGATTGATCTAATGTCGATAATACTAAGCAATAATAAAAAATTGACTTGTTGAAATTCATTAATGTTAGTAATATTTTTACAGGATGCACGATTAAGAAACTAAACATTTATTCTTTAATGCCAATTTTCCTTCTTATTGCTCAAACCTCCTCGGTCCGTTTCATGAAACTTCTTGATAAATAGAAATTTCTTTAACTTATTATCTAAAATTTATTTTATTTTGAAAACCATTTTTAAAAAAAAAAACAGGTATGTGGATTTTCAAAATTTTACCTTCTGTAAAGAATTAATCATAAATTTGAAACTGTGTATTTGTAAATGACCGACTTTATAAATTCTGAGTTTATAAAAAAATCTTTATAGATAGTTTTACTAGAAAAAGAAATAAGCTATTTGCAAAACAACTGTGAAAAGAATTTTCAAATAAAAAAAATTAACATTCTTCGCGAGTTACGGACATCAGTTCGTAGTTTTATGATTGACACAACTGGTCTGAATCCTGAAATGTAGACCTGATACATAAAGCTTCGAATGACTTTCTGTTTCGTACTTGAATTGAAAATAAATTAATTTGAAATGTCCTTGTCTTGATTGTCTTTGCGGTTTCGCCTCTTTAATAGATATAAACATTTAATATAATAAATTCCATAAGCCGAAACTAAAAATAGAAATTAATTATTTGTACAAAATACAGCCTTGAATAGCTGTTTTCTTAAACTGACTTGATTTTCAACCATTTTTCGTTTTTAATTTTAGAACAGGGTGTTGTAAATAAACGATTGTTTTCTATTAGTTTTAAAAGATAAACAGATGGTGTGTTTAAAATGTTATTTATTTATTAAAAATTAACCACAAAAATCTATAATTTCTTTTACCAAGTTTAAACATTTATATTTAAGTAAATTAAACATTTATAATTATTATTATTATTTTAAAAAAAACGTATTTAAACTCAGTTTTTCTTTAACGCATTTTAAGATTTGTAGATAAAATTTAAAGATTCTAAGATGAGGTAAAATAAGTAATTTTTAAAAAAAAAATTGGAAAGAATTTGTCTTAATTCTTAATATAATAAAATATGCTGAAAATGTTATGCATTACAACCAAAAGTTTGATTGATTTTGAAAAACAAGAGTAGAATATATTCAATACACCATGGATTTTTCTTTTACTAATTAAAAACAATCTGATCATCTAAAGATTATATTTGATCATTGTCTGATATATTCAATACACTCTAATTTTTCTTCAAAATTTGAAAGTATTTTAACCATTAGAAAAACATTTCCCGATCTCCGAAATATTGTGTCTACCTGATCACTTCCTGATATATTTAATACACCATAGTATTTCTTCACAATTTCTTACAAATATATTTTTTGACTGTTGTCTAACTGAATAAATCGAACTATGTTTTTAATTTATATTTTCTGAAAATAAATATATTATGCAATCATTACCGAAACGCTATATTCAACATATAAGACTATATTCAACATTATTCAGTATAAGGCTATATTCAACATATTTAAGGCTATATTCAACATATTTTCTTACCGCGATCAAAATTCGAAGCCCACATAAACTTCCTAATCCAATGAGCTATTTTGAAACTAAGATTGCATACTAATTCATTATATAAAATAATGTTGAAAGTTAAGGTTTCTAAAAAAAAAAAAGAATAATCGTGAATAATTTAATTTTCCAACTGGGGTCTTATATATATGATAGCACCGCTTGGCTAATATAGTCATCTCTTTGTAATTAATTGTAATAAAACCTCCCTCGCTCTTTGTAATTGATTTTAATAAAAAATTATCAAAGTCTTACAGATGAAAAAACTACTCATTTTAAAATTTTTTATATATTAAGTATATTGATAATTAGTTTTAAATGCAACAGTAATGATGAAAAATGCTATTTTTAACGAACGTTAATAAAAAAATATAGGGCAGTTATTTTGAATATGATAAGTTTAAAAAATAAGAATAATGACACACGTAAGAATGCAAATAAAGTGTTTAAATGTGAAAAGAAAGTTAAGAAAGAAAAAATTACCTAAAGCTTTCGATCTGTATATCCTTTTTATTATCATTTTAGACTGATAAAATTTAATAAACTAGTGAACTTGCTGAACTACTTATTAAACTCGATGCTAAACTTGTTTGCAATTGGGTATAATATAAAAAAAACACAACTACTTCCACTTAGTAGGAATAACATTTATCATGGCGCAATACTAAATTCTATGCCACTATCCACATAAATGCCACTATCCACATAAATCAATTATTAATCAAAAATCGAATATCAATTACTTTTCTTTATAATGCAATAAAATCTGGCGAGCAGCTATTTAAACGATCAAACACTTCGTTTGTTTATTTGTGGCTTGAAGTTAGGCTCGCAGAAAATGCCGTTCATGGGTTAAATTTAGTAGGAATAACACAACCTGTGACGTAGGCTATAGTATACCCAATTTAGATCAGCTTTTTAACAACCATGACTTTATTAAAACTATATTTTGGCAAAATATTGTTCCTCGTAAAAGAAGAACTATGGAAACAGACGATAATGATTTAAACTCTAAACTTGTTTTTAATATCACAATCGGATAAAATTTTGAATTCTCGATCGCAACGAACTGTAGGGGGCATTGTTGTATGAGGCGTATACCTGCGATTTCTATATGAACAGTCATTCAGTTACTCTAGAGACGTCTTTAATGTAGCGTGTAGCATCGCAACGTTCCTTCTTTATTGTGGCTAATTAAATTTAAAAAAGAAAAATGTTTGATATTCTTTCTTATGTAAACGAAAACAAAATGGTATCTTTTTTTCTTAGAGAAGGAACATCCAAAACACACCGGAAAAATATTTGTACACAAGCAGAAAAAAATATGTATATTCTTATAAGAGTTAAAACCTAATGCCCGAGAAATAGTTTCACTAAATTTAATGATATAACATGAAAGGCCTATTTAAACTTTACATTTTACAGTTTAAAGAATCATATTACTTCAAAAATTAAAATGAACAAAAAGTATACATAAGCCTCATAATTTTATGAAATTTAATTTTACAAAAAAGTTTTTTGACAACAATTTTTATCAAAAAATTTCAAGTTTCAATAAAAATCGTTATTTAGAATTTAAAAAACGTAAAATAAAGAATGCTGACGAAACAAAAACAAGAAAACAATTCTTTTTCGCCGCCATTTTTTAGTGCTACGAAAATTCGTCTTTGGGATTTGCCAAAAACAAAGCAAGACGCAATTTCATTTTTTCAGGAGCGAAATATTTTACCGAAAAAACGAAAATGTACCAATTTCCACGACATGAAACTTTATCTTGGTAAGCGTACGTTTTGGAAAGGTTATTTCATTTGAAATCTTATTTATCAGAGTTCATATGGCGATATGATTGTTTTGAATCTATGCTAAACTCTACATCGGCTCATTTTCCACAGAAATCTGATTGATTACTTTGATTTTAAATAAAGTGTTTTATTTTTTGATCTGTCGCAAAAATTTTAAGTGTATATTGGCGGCACTTAAAAACCGCCAAATCTGTAGCGGCGATGGCGTTAATATGTAAGTACCGAATTTTTATTCCATACTTTTCTTAGTCATATTACTTCAAACATTAGAATATACAAGAAGTGTACATAAACACAAAATGTTATACCATTTAATTTTTCAAAAAAAAAGTATTTTGACGACAATTTTTATCAAAAAATTATAAGCTAAAAATCGTAGAATAAAGAATTCTAAGGATAAAAAATGATTTTAAAAATTCTTTATATTGAAATAGAAACTTTCATATTGTTTCTTTTTTTTATTCTTATAGTTCTTAATCAGACGTAAAAAACCATTCTGTAGAGAACTATCATCAAATAAGAAAAAAAAAATATTTGCAAGCAAATTTTTTATTATAAAAAGCATAACAGTCACCTGTTTTATAAATCCGCAGAATTCCAAATGAAATGTTCTTCGCTTGAAAATTT